CTTGGCCCGAATTAAGCTTAATTCGGGCCAAGTTTCGAAATAACGCCCATGCCCGCTATTTCGAGATTTTACGGTATGTAAAAATGCACCATTGTTTCTATTGCTCCATTCGCGAATCAAAATTTTATGACCAACAATGAATATTATAAATTAAATAAATAAGACTTAATAAGAGTAAATGAGTGAGGATTATAATAACATCTAATATTATTTATGATTGCCTAATCAAGGATTATTATATGTAGGCTCGTAATTATACACAATATAATTCCTATTGTCATAAAGGAGCTACTAACAGTATTTGATTTATATCCCGAAGATGGTGAAGATGGTGAAGATGGTGAATATGGTGAATGTGGTAAAATTGTGGAATTGTATGGGGAATTGTTTGAGGTATGATCTGGTATACCGGTAATTAGTGAATCTTGTGAGCAAGAATCAGTTCCATTCATACATGCTAAGTTAAATTTACATTCACTAGCATCTTTTATATCTTCTGTTAACGAATATAAAAACTTTAATATTGCTATTTTTTCATCATTTGTTGGTGGTGAATTTATATAAATATTAGTTAAAGTTTTTATATTTTCACATGAAATGCAAGAAGCATTATTTGCCACACTTGAATTTTCAAAACTTATTCCAGGATTGTATATGCACTCTACTAATTTTTCAGCAGTTTCTTCTAATTGATCAGCTTCTTCAACAGAATAACCATTGTCTGTTGCCCATTTTATAACTCCTTTATCGATTACTGTTGTTGTTTCTGTTTGTGCTGTTTTTACTGTTGTTGTTTCTGTTGGTGTTGCTGTTACTATTTTTGTTTCTGTTTTATTTGCTGTAATTGATGTCATTGACACTATTACATATTCACTAATGTATCTAACTACATACTCAACAACTTCTTGTGTTATTTGTGTTACTGTTGTTGGCATCGTTGGCATTCTGCATAAGCCATTGCCAACACATTCATAACCTAGCATACAACAACCACTTTTGTCAGGACAACAATATGAGATTTCTGGATCGCAACAATATATCCCACAACAAGTATAATTTGTCTTACAACAATATTCTCCACAACAACTAAAATTTGATGGACAACATCCAACGTTATCGCAAATTATACTACATTGTAAGGAACAGCATAAATCAGTCCCTGGACATTGAGAAAATCCAGGTAGACAAGTGTAAACGTCTCTTGCTACCAAAGAAGATTGATTTGAAAACGTTCCAACTTGATATGCATTATCCTGAAATGCTCCAAATAATTCATTTCTTTTCCATTCAAAAGGTATTGTAGGTGTCACAGCAAAAGTTAAATTACCGAAGATTGCAATGATAAAAATAAAGATTAACAACGCTAGATTTTTCAACATTGTAAATTAAGGATAGTGTGAAGGTTAATATCTACGAAAAACAAGGGAAGATAGTATAGGAAAATACTTATATATATATATATAATTTTAATTTTTTGTTTTCTTTATTAAGCGATCTGTAATAATAAAATATACTTTTTTTGTTTAATTTTCTTTGAAGGCATTAATCGCAAAATATCAAGTGTTACACGATTAAAATAATAGTGTTTGGAATAATTTAAAGTGCGATCTGATTTGTGATCTAATAATTGCATTAGTAATGTAATAATTACAGTCGGAAAGGCTACCAAAATTTGATTTGGGCGACATTAAACAAAATTAACTCAATAAAAAAAAAAATGCAAAAACACAATGCGGGATTATCAATAGGTTTTATATTATTAAAGGTCTGAATTTGAGATATATTTTTTTTATACGCTTTGTTATTATATTTACAACAAAGTTTCACCACATTACTTTTTAAATCAACGAAATTCTCATATGCAATTAAGGCGTTGGATATATCTACTTTTTTTTCTTTCTTTTCTTTTTTTGATTGTTTCTATACTAATTACTTTGTGCAAATTTGAAAGTTATAAGTTTATAAATTTCTACGCTCCTTTTCACATTCTTTGATGTATCACAACATTTTTAACATCATATACATGCTTAAAATTTACATACGTACGACAATAGATTCCATTCATTACTACGAATTTTATACTTAGACATTATATAAATTTTTTTAAAATTAATAGTAAAAAAACATTAAAATTTAATAATTAATTCTATTGCCATTTAAACTATCTAATAACCATATTAAAATAGTTAATTTATTTAAATAAATAGTAAAATTCATGTTATAAAATATTTAAATATTCTATCTTTTTAAATCTAACTATATACTATAAACGTTTGTAAATAATTTAAGCCAATTCAGTTTTGAAAGTTATATATGAATTTGAGTAAAATAAACTAATATCCAATATAGATATTTACTAATAATATTAAAAGGAAACAATATTTTCGCACCCCGAGAGATCACTTTTTTTTAAAAAACTACCAAATGAATTTCGATGAACTTTTTTTTATTCGAATCCTATGAATCTATACAATTCAAATAAAAACGGTGTTCCTCAAATTTCATTGTGTTGTTATTAGGATATCTTCAATCAAATTTAGGAAAATTTTTTGAAACTTTAATTGAAGATATCTCGACAACCAACTAATGAAATTCAATGAAATTTTATTTATTTAAATTCTACAAATTCATAAAATTCAAATAAAAAATGTTCACCGGATTTCAACCAAATCAAGAAAATTTTGCCGAATCAAATATGAAAAAGTGGTCTTGATATTGCTATGAAAATTGCACAGGTACTGCTGAAGATGAATATAAGGCATTTGAGAGCAGCTAAAGGTGATAACTTGAGTAGACAAAATAGAATGGATTATTTTACTACCATGGTGGGTTCAAATTAGCATGCATTAGATCAGCGTTAACTATAGTTCCAATTATAGGCACAATCAAGTGTAATATTTGAGATCAACTGAGGTTCTTTAATAAATTCCATAGAATATTATGGTGCATACCTTTAAGTCGAACAATAAATTTAACTGGAGTACATTAACTATGTAATAGAGAATACATATGCATATCATAATCTATCAGAATAAAAATTGTAGAACTCGGCGACAAGTGTTTTTTGACTTCCATACGCGTACTTACGCCGGCATACATATCAGATATGTACGTACGTACGTACGTACGAACAGTAGCCTCCGAAAGTTTGCACTGTCACACAGAAAACACCAAAATTTAACACAAATTATTATTAAATGATAAGCACTGCACTTTATTTATTTACCTACGTACTGTACGTATGTAAATGTTCAGTTATACAAATCGGGATTTAAAAAAAATATTAAGATTTTTGTAATTCAGTTCTGTTTTTCTATGCAACCATGCCAAATTTTATAAACTTTGAACACAAATCTGCATCATCCGCATAGGCTTCCATAAATGGTAGTTTCCATGCAATTACGTATTAACATTATGTTAAATTACCTACTATAAAAGGTAAGCGTTAAAATTTTAAACCGCAATTCTTGTGCGCATAGAGCCAATATGCGTCATAAAATTTTAATAGCCCATAAATTTGATAGAGGGACAAGTTATTTGACAATAAAATTGTCTGAAAGACTGAGGCGGAAGATTTATTTTTAACATTTGCTCGTAACAATAAAATATCAAATATCATGTCTTGGTAAGTCCAGGAATAAGTTAGATGATAATCTAATGGGTTTGGAGAATAGACCCTCATTATATTAAAAAAAACATCTTAATAATTCGTCATACCAATCAAAAAAAATTAAATAAGGCCAATATCCGCTGATCAGCACATGTGCGATGCAATTTTCTAATGGTTCATGCGATTATTATTGATAAACATCTCCAGCAATAAATAAGAAACCACAACATCAAAAAAATATGACGTTCAATTTCACCTATTCGAATACTACTTATAATGAAGCATATCTTAATATTTTTACTGATTCTAATAATCGCGACAGCTTTTAAATCCGTCGCGGTGAGCATCAATAAAAATCTTGTGATTCGTTCTTCAAAACCAACCGGAGCTACATCATGGGACAATTGGAACGGGCAAATACATGTCACCCCAAGTGCCATTTTTCAACCATCTACACTTAATGACCTTGTAGACATTGTGAAATTAGCAAAGCAAAATAATAAAAC